CGTCAGAGAGGAGCTGACGGCGTCGGATAACCACTGAAGGCGCCAGGTAGTCGCTGACGGCGTCAGATAGCCACTGACGGCGTCAGAGGCGCTGACGGCGTCAGATAGCCGCTGATGGCGCCAGAGGAGCGCCGAGACATCACACGTCCCTCTACCGGCCGCCAGCGGGCGGCGTGAAGTCATGAGTCACCCCAGTTCACTGGCCGCGCCAGGTGGGCCGTCGCCGCCCCACCTGGCTCACCGGCGGGCGGCACACAGCCGACGCCAGCACGGCCCTCCAGTCGCCGGTACGGCACAAACAGCGCTGCGCTGCAGCTCTCCCCACGCAAACAGCCCAGCGCTGCAGCTCTCCCCACGCAAACAGCCCAGCGCTGCAGCTCTCCATACGCAAACAGCCCTGCGCTGCAGCTCTCCACACGCAAACAGCCCTGCGCTGCAGCTCTCCACACGCACAGCCCTGCGGCGCAGCTCTCCACCCACACGTAAACAGCTCTGCGCTGCAGCTCTCCACATGCAAACAGCTCTACACTGCAGGTCTCCACGCGCAAACAGCCCTGCGCTGCAGCTCTCCACCCACACGAAAACAGCGCCGACGACCTGCGGCGCGCAGCCCAGGTGTAGTTTTGTTGCGTTCATTTGACAGGTGGAAATTCGCAGGTGATGTGACGACGTTAGGCTGTACACAGCACTGAAAGCTCCCGCCGATGTGACGCGTTTCATTTGCGAAGCTGGGGGAGTGAGGCGAAGGTTGGGCGCTCAGCCGAGCTGGCAGAAGCACACTCAGCAGACAGTAGGCAGTGCAGCTCTCTGAGCTATAAGGACAACTGTTCTGTTGAAGGAAGCCTCAGCTGCCGCTGCAGCTACAGCCAGCAATAAGTCTTCCACCCTTTTCAGGCGAAACAAATCGCGAGATGACTGGCAGAACAACACTGCCAGGGGCGTCGAGTTCCTGAGCGCGGGTGGCAGTGAGACAGGCTGTTTGTCGGGCGATGGACTGGTGCCCCTGCGCCACACGCGGCAATGTGCAGGGCTACTCTGGTGCCCGGCCAGCCAGTCCGTCCGCAGCCTGCCGCTCCAGCGGCCGGCCTCATCTCGAGGCCACTGCGCGGATGCGGGAGGGCATGCTTTCAGTAGACCAGACTGATCGCAGCTGCCCAGAAGCGCAGACTTTGTGCGTCTCGCCCGCGTCGAAGCGGCCTGAGCCCGGTGACGGAGCCCGTACGGAGCAGACTGGTGCGCGTGCACACTCCAGGCTCGGCCAGCGATGTCTGAGCATCGGAAAGACGACCAACACTGCGAGTAGCTCCGCTCTCCTGCTGCGGCAGACCTGACCCACCCGAACCCGCGCCAGGTCGGCCGGCCACCGCCCCAGGGGCGACCCCTGCCGAAGCGGGCCTTGTCGATAACGACGCGAGGGCGGGCGACCACACGACACACTCAATCGATCATCAGCCACACGACAAACAGGCGCCGATGCCGCCGGCGCCGCCGGCCAGACGCCTTTATGACGCCGCCGCTCGATTATGTCGCCGACCGGACGGCAGGCGACAGACACGTGCGACGCGCGGCCGCCACCGCCGCCGCGGCGACATCCGTGCAGGGCCGGCTGCCGGCTGCCGGCTGCCGGCTGGCGGTGGCTGCGGAGACTCCGGCCGTCGCCTCCCGGTCCTGAACCGTCTCAATCGATAGGGCGGCGGGTGGGGCCGCCGCCGAAATCGTTGTCGGTCCGGCCGGGGTCAGGCGCCGGCCAGCCAGCCAGTCCTCGTCGGCCAGCCCGGCCCCCAGACGGTGGGCGACGACGGCCCGGCAACAGCAGGCTAACACCGCCGCCTCAGCCGCCGGCGGCCTCTCGTGCCGGGCACAGCCGCCGGAGCAGAGTGGCGGCAGGCCCTGCGCGCCGCTGCGGTCGGGCGGCTCACCGCCTGACCGGGCAGGTCTGGGCATCGTCACGGCAATATGGCGCCAGTCGACCGCCGCGGCAGTCACAGCAGCCGCCCACGACCGTCTCCCCTCTCTCGTCCCGCGTGGGCTAGCAGCCCAGGACAGGAGAACGGCCTCAGTCGGGTTTGCGTGGCCTGGGAGCAGCAGACCGCCTCCGCTGGCGTTTTTCGTTGGCAAGGCCGGTACCCGGCAGTGATGGATCGGTTTCACTCACCCGTCACGTGACCAATCTGGTGGGCCCACAGCGCTGCGGCGGGACGGCACGTGAGCGGCAGCCGGCGACAAGCCCTGGCGGCGCCGGGCGCCCGCCGTCCCGGCCACGTACCAGTCGTGTGTGCACTGTGCAGCAGCTGGATCTGGGACACTGAGCGCAGGACAGTCGGGTGTAGGGCACAGGTGTGTAGGACAGGGGTGTGTAAGACAGAAGTGTGTAGGACAGAGGTGTGAAGGGCAGAGGTGTGTAGGGCAGGGACGTGCAGGGCAGAGGTGTGTAGGCCAGCGGCGTGCACGGCGGAGGTTTGTAGGGCGGAGGTGTGTGTAGGGTAGCCGGGTGAAGGGTAGACGTATGTAGGGCAGCCGGGTGAAGGGCAGACGTGTGTAGGGCAGCCGGGTAAAGAGCAGACGTGTGTAGGGCAGCCGGGTGAGGGGCAGACGTATGTAGGGCAGTCGGGTGGGGGGGCAGACGTATGTAGGGCAGTCGGGTGGGGGTGGGGGCAGACGTGTAGGGCAGTCGGGTGAAGGGCAGACGTGTGCAGGGCAGCCGGGTGAGAGGCAGACGTGTGTAGGGCAGCCGGGTGAAGGGCAGACGTATGCAGGGCAATCGGGTGGGGGGTGGGGGGCGCAGACGTGTGTAGGGCAGCCGGGTGAGGGGCAGACGTGTGTAGGGCAGTCAGGTGGGGGCAGACGTATGTAGCGCAGCCGGGTGAAGGGCAGACGTATGTGAAGCAGCCGGGTGAAGGGCAGACGTGTACAGGGCAGCCGGGTGAAGGGCAGACCTGTGCAGGGCAGCCGGGTGAAGGGCAGACGTGTGTAGGGCGGCCGGGTAAAGGGCAGACGCGTGTAGGGCGGCCGGGCGAAGGGAAGACGTGTGTAGGGCAGCCGGGTGAAGGGCAGACGTGTGCAGGGCAGTCGGATGGGGGGCGTTGAGTCACGCGCCGGCTACAGCAGACGGGTAAACCGGACGGCACCACGGCACGCCTATATCGAGTGCACTCTGCTGACACAGCGAACAGGTGCGCCGCTCTCAGTGTGGCACGGACGGAACGGAGAACAGTGGGGGCCAGTGTGTAACAAAAGGCTGGGTTTTGAACACCACGAAAGGCAACGGTAAGCCCACAATACGAAATTTCCATGGTACAGCTCCGGTAAAACCCCCGCATATTGTTCAAATACCGCTCATGACTGATGCACTTCACGCATGGAGCTTACTGGGGCAAAATCCATGCCAACCAGCCCGTCCCAACCCGCTCTTGTACCAGCCGCTGCCGAATCTGCACGCATTAATTCTTCCATACGATTCGGAGGTCTCGAAACACCATTGCACGATGATTTGGCCGAGCCAAGATAGCCCCTTCGTGCCTCGAATAAGACAACGAGCAGTCAATCTCTCTGGGAGGATAGAGATGGAGGCGTGAATGGAAACTGGAGCCGCGCTGTCGCTGTGAGGAGAGGAGGGTCGCCGCCCTCCTCCGCAGATATGTGCTCGCAGTGACGCACCTCTAGAGGAGGGTCGTCGCTCTCCTCCGCAGAGATGTGCTCACAGTGACGCATCTCTAGAGGAGGGTCGCCGCCCTCCTTCGCAGAGATGCGCTCACACTGACGCACTTCTAGAGGGTCGCCGCCCTCCTCCGCAGAGACGTGCTCACAATGACGCCCCTCTAGAGGAGGGTCGCTGCCCTCCTCCGCAGAGATGTGCTCACAGTGACGCACCTCTAGAGGAGGGTCGCCGCCCTCCTCCGCAGAGATGTGCTCACAATGACACACCTCTAGAGGAGGGTCGCCGCCCTCATCCGCAGAGATGTGCTCACAGTGACGCACCTCTAGAGGAGGGTCGCCACCCTCCTCTAGAGATGCGCCAACAGTGACACACCTCTAGAGGAGGGTCGCCGCTCTCCTCCGCAGAGATGTGCTCACAATGACACACCTCCAGACGAGGGTCGCCGCCCTCCTCCGCAGAGATGTGCTCGCAGTGACGCACCTCTACGGTCGGCTCACCCAGCCACACTTCTCCGCAGAGATGCGCTCACAATGACACACCTCTAGAGGAGGGTCGCCGCCTTCCTTCGCAGAGACGTGCTCACAATGACTCACCTCTAGAGGAGGGTCGCCGCCCTCCTACGCAGAGATGTGCACACAGTGACGCACCTCTAGAGGGTCGCCACCCTCCTCCGCAGAGATGTGCTCGCAGTGACGCACCTCTACAGGAGGGTCGCCGCCCTCCTCCGCGGAGATGTGCTCCAGTGACGCACCTCTACGGTCGGCTCACCCAGTCACCCTTCTCCGCAGAGATGCGATAACAGTGGCGCACCTCTACATTCGGCTTACCCAGCTTAAACACCACTAGCCTGTGCTTCTGCGTCCCAGCGGTTTACAGCCAACTCCCTAGAGTTCTTTAGAGTAGCGAAGAAAAAAGCATGACGCATGAAATGCAACCGTTTCAGGGGGAAGCGAAAATCCTGTACTGGGCGCACGTGTAACACGCAGCGGGCCAGCGCGTCGAACTGGAGCCCAAAAGGCCCGGTTCACGTATCGAGCGCGGTCCTCCCCGCTGCCGCCGCGGGCACCGGACACCACGGCCGGCCTCGCCGACCTGCCGCGTTCGGAGAGGCCGGCTGTGGCCGCCGGCGGAGGCCGCTCACCCCATCAGGATAATTCGGGCTTCACGGCGCTCCGGCATGCGCGGCCGGGCTTGGCCTGCAACAGACACAAAACACCCGAACGAAGAAAGCCCACAGTGCGATGCATTTGCGAAATGAGTCACGTGACCCCTTCTAAGCACAGGAAATCATTACCAAGAGCGCCACAACTGGGCGGTGGCGCGGCGGCGCCTAGCCCCTCACCTGACGCCGGCCGGGTGCTGTGACACGTCGTCACCGTCGGCCCCGTCGCACACCGTTTGCACGCCGGCGTAGCGGCCCGAGCGCGAGAACAGGCGCCCCAGCTTGCGGTGCAGCCGGTGGAGGCGGCCGCCCGACGGCGGCGCCAGGCTCAGCACGCTGGCCGACGAGCGCAGCCGGTCGCGCAGCGTCGGCCGGAACGCCACCGCGTCCAGGTGGTCCGCGTCCAGCGCCGCGTACGAGCGCGCCAGCGAGCGGCGCCCGCTCAGCATGACTGGGCCCGGCTGCCGGCGCGCCGCCGGTCGAGAGAGCAGTCCGCGCCGGTATCACCCCCTCGGCTGCGGGCGGTGGCTGGCGCGACGTCTCCGCCAAGCACCGAGCACGGCAAACACGAACGCGGAGAAGCCTTCAGCAGGGCGTATGGCGCAGAATCCGTACGAATGTTCCGGTGAGGCGTCTCGGCCGCAAGCCGCCAGTTGCACACGCGCCAGCTCGCCACACAGAGCACCTGCCGTCGGCTCGGGCAGCGGCGGGCTGGCGACACGCAGTCCGGGACGCCGCTGCGCTCCGTCTGACCGCGAGCTCCGGCCGTCCGTCGGCCGCCGACGCCCGACGCCCCGGCTCGGCGTACGTCTCGCGTCGCTGCCGCGGGTGCGCAGTCCGACGAGCACCGCGGTGGACGCAGTCTCGGCTGGCGTGGCGGGCGGCGCGCGCGAGCGACTCGTCCGGCCACAGTCGGCACCGCAAGTGAACAGCTGTCCGGGCGCGGCGGCGGCGGCGGCGGCGGCGGGCCGTCCCACACAATCGATAGCCTTGACGGCGCAGGTGAGGATGACGTCAGGGTGCCCCGGCGGCCGGCACCAGCGGGCGCCGGCCGGACCCCGCTGGTCCGGCTGGCGGCGCCGCAGACCGCGCTGGTGCGCGAGCCGTAAACTGCTGGGATGATCCTCCTTTTTGCAGGTAAGGGGGATCGTAATACGGTTGAGCCTTTACAAGCCTACAAACGCGGAAGCGTCACGCTAAAAGCGTTTTAACCCTAGCTTCATGAAGCAATGTATTAGTTCCGAAAAAGCGTACAATGGGCACGGGAAAGTTACTTCATAGAAAATCCAGAATATCAACCAACGTTTCTTAAATGTGAAAATATAGCAGCCGAAATCGAACCCGAGTCGTATTTTGGGTACAGACTAGGGTGTTATCCAGACTACGACCACCAACGTGATCCCAGATCGCGGGCCTGGCCATCCAGCCGCTCCCAGCAATCCTGTGGGGCAGCGGACGAGACACGGCGGTACCGGTACTCGGAGCTGGGGCTCACCGAGAGCCTATGACCCGAGGTCACAGCGGGACACGGCGGCAACGGTACTCGGAGCTGGGGCTCACCGAGAGCCTGTGACCCGAGGTCACAGCCAGACACGGCGGTACCGGTACTCGGAGCTGGGGCTAACCAGGGAGCCTGTGACCCGAGGTCACGGCGGGACACGGCGGTACCGGTACCCGGAACTGGGGCTCACCGAGAGCCTGTGACCCGAGATCACAGCGGGACACGGCGGTACCGGTACTCGGAGCTGGGGCTCACCGAGAGCATGTAACCCGAGGCCACAGCGGGACAAGGCGGTACCGGTACTCGGAGCTGGGGCTCACCGCGAGCCTGTGACCCGAGGTCACAGCGGGACACGGCGGTACCGGTATTCGGAGCTGGAGCTCACCGAGAGCCTGTGACCCTAGGTCACAGCGGGACACGGCGGTACCGGTACTCGGAGCTGGGGCTCACCAAGAGCATGTGACCCGAGGTCACAGCGGGACACGGCGGTACCGGTACTCGGAGCTGGGCTCACCGAGACTGTGACCCGAGGTCACAGCCAGACACGGCGGTACCGGTATTCGGAAATGGGGCTCACCGAGACTGTGACCCGAGGTCACAGCGAGACACGGCGGTGCCGGTACTCGGGACTGAAACTCACTGGGTGCCTGCCACCGGAGGTCACGCAGCCAGCCAGCTGTAGGACGTTCGGGCCCTAAGGCAGCCGCGACACGGCATAGCTCTCGGGTAGACGTTATTTTCTCCTTACAGGCATACACATCATAACTATCGTCGACGGGTTACCGTTGTCACTGCGAAGGTCTCGAAGCTCGTATTTCCGCTGCTCTAGATTATTGTTGCATTGCGCAGCACCTGACAATAACGGACACCTGGTGTCAATCACTCGCGTCTGGTAAATTGCATCAATTGACATTGCTGTCTGTCATTTGTGCCCCATACATGCCGCAAATACTGGAAAAGCACGGGGAAAACACAGCTAAGGTGACTTTGTCAAACACTTCACGCGTAACCAAACACGAGCCAAGTTTATGCTGAGTTAAGTGATTATTTTGAATGTTATGCGTCACACACCGCCAAAGTTCAAGACAACTGTGCCCCAACCAGCTAGTAAATACCCGAGGAAACCCCAGGTGGGTATTTCAGTTATTAGGACCTCCTCGCATGACAGTTATACATGACATCACATGCTAGATGAGACAGTTAAAGTAACGAGTAACAAGGCACGTGGAAGTGTTACCCGCGGCTCCTCACGCAAAGAAAAGTCACCGGGTCGCGCGTAACGAGCTCGCCATCGCACCAACGTTTGCGTCCAGCTAACGGTCTGGCTGAAAATATACATACAGTCTGCACTATGATTCATGTAATGTCATTCATTCACGTGCCGTTTAACATTAATTTTCGCGTATCAATTGTTTATCAGGCAACCCATTCCACCACCTGGCACCCAGCGCGCGGCCTTATCGCGCCGGCCGCTCTAATGGGCGAGCGTCGCGCCGTGCTGGCGCGGGCCAGCGCCGGCCCCACAGCTGCGCGCGGCGCCGAACAGGTGGGCCGCCCACAGCAGAGAGGCTGGTGTGCCGCGTCGCCGAACCGGGGCACGCCTAGCCCCGCCCCGCCGGCGGTGCAGGACCGCACCAGCGACGCGCCCAGCCCAGCCGCGTCCCGCTCGGATGCGAGCCGCACCAGCGGCACGCCCCGCCCGGCCCCGTCCCGCTCGGGTGCGAGCCGCACCAGCGGCACGCCCCGCCCCGCCGGCGCTACGGACCGCACCAGCGACGCGCCCCGCCCAGCCGCGTCCCGCTCGGATGCGAGCCGCACCAGCGGCACGCCCCGCCCGGCCCTGTCCCGCCCCGCCGGCGGTGCGGACCGCACCAGCGACGCGCCCCGCCCAGCCGCGTCCCGCTCGGATGCGAGCCGCACCAGCGGCACGAACCGCCCAGCCGCGTCCCGCTCGGATGCGAGCCGCACCAGCGGCACGCCCCGCCCAGCCCCGTCCCGCTCGGGTGCGGGCCGCACCAACGGCACGCCCCGCCCAGCCCCGTCCCGCTCGGGTGCGGGCCGCACCAGCGACACGCGGCAGCCGGCACCGCACCCGAGCCCGGCCGGTCACCGGAGAGCCGTGCGATCGGCGGCGGGGACGATCACGAGCCGACATCACCTCCCGAACGAGCCACCCGACGCGGCCTCCGGCGCCGGCGGGATCTCACCGGTCACACCAAACATCCCGCAGACGGCCGATGGATGCAGCGCCCTGCCGATCAGCACTACATTCTGTCCGTACCAGGCTGGTGAGTCAAGCGTGCCAACACATCAAAAATGCAGATGAAACACAACATGGCTGCAATTGTCGGCACTCCAGCCCGTATCAAAGCTTTTCCTCAGTCTACTGCCGCAGGGTGAGAGTCAAGGCAGCAGCCGTCCAATAACTGATTTTATCGAAGCATCGTAATAGTCTGCACAAATAATTTGAAAGAAAGTACATCAGATGAGGAGATCCAACGCTGGACACCAGGGAGCGAGGCGCAGTCCTCATAACCAGACACCAGGGGGCGAGGCGCGGTCCTAATAACCAGACACCTGGGAGCGAGGCGCAGTCTTAATAACCAGACACCAGGGAGCGATGCGCAGTCCTTATAACCAGACGCCAGGGGCGATGCGCAGTCCTTATAACCAGACACCAGGGAGCGATGCGCAGTCCTCATAACCAGGCACCAGGGAGCGAGGCGCGGTCCTGATAACCAGACACCAGGGAACGAGGCGCGGTCCTAATAACCAGACACCACGGGGCGAGACGCGGTCCTAATAACCAGACACCAGGTGGCGAGGCCGGTCCTAATAACCAGACACCAGGGGGCGAGGCGCGGTCCTAATAACCAGACACCAGGGGGCGAGACGCGGTCCCTAATAACCAGACACCAGGGGGCGAGACGCGGTCCTAACAACCAGACACCAGGGGGCGAGACGCGGTCCTAATAACCAGACCGCCCGGACATCAAGCATTCCGCTGAATGCCGATGAAGGGAAAACGGCGCGGTCGCGAGAGTCCATTATATTGTCCACCACGGAGAGCGACCCGCACACAACCAGGTTCCGGCTCGTCGAGCGTCGGAGAAACCCGATGTGGGACAGGCAGGAGACATTGGGTCCCAGGGGCGGTGCGGCGTAACTGGTCTCTGTCGGCCAGGCGACACCCGGCCGTGAGCTACGGCTTATCAATGCGGTGGCAGCATCACAGCGTTACGGGGCACCTTAAAATCTCACGATGACAACCGCCTGTCGAACTTCTCTTCAAGTTTGGCGGGTTCGGATCTGCACAACAAGCTATGCGTGACAAAAATGCTCATTCGAAAGCCATTCATGTACCGTTCCAGAGGCAAGTGTAACATAAACTGGTCTTGACCCGCGCCACAGTAGCATGAGGTCAGTGTAACTCACAACCACTATGGACCCGCGCCCCAATAGCATGAGGTCAGTGTAACTCACAACCGCTCTGGACCCGCGCCCCAATAGCATGAGGTCAGTGTAACTCAACCTCTCTGGACCCGCGACCCAGTAGCATGCCAGTGTAACTTACAACCACTCTGGACTCGAGCTCCAGTAGCATGAGGTCAGTGTAACTCACAACCTCTCTGGGCCCGCGCCCCAATAGCATGAGGTCAGTGTAACTCACAACCGCCCTGGACCCGCGCCCCAATAGCATGAGGTCAGCGTAACTCACAACCGCTCTGGACCCGCGCCCCATAGCATGAGGTCAGGGTAACTCACAACCGCTCTGGACCCGCGCCCGAGTAGCGTCTGACCAGCATTTCCCGCTTATGGCGATACAATAATGGCTGCCTCACAGCAGTGTGGCTGGCTCTTCCAGCAGACGTTGGTGGAATGGAGCGCCGGCAGCAGCCTACGGTCGATAAGCCCGGAGCCATGGTCATTATGGGCGCTCCAAATTACGATCTTGGGATGGTCCTCGTAACCTCGGTCAATCAAGACGGTTGAAATGTTAAGTGCTCGTTAAAGTCCTCATGAATTATATTTCCAGTGTTCCGTTGAGACTGGCCCCCGACCTAAAATCCAATCCACTTACCATAGACATTTTCACTAGTTCTCAACCAGTTCAGTTCCCAAACGCCCAAGCCGTCGCATTTCAGCGCCACACGACTCTTCAGTGCATTCCAACCAAGTTGCAACACACCATTCCCTGCTCCAACCAGTCACCAGACTTGCCTCCCAAGAGGAAGCGCCCCAAACTACACTCTGTGCGTACAGGGGACACCGTGAGCAAAACGTCCTCTGAGCTCAGAGGCTGCTCAGGACATCGGATTGTATCCAGTTTGGGAGTCGACGACAGCTCCCGTGTAACACGGTGGCTTAGAAGTGGCCAACAAGGCCTGCGGCGAACACTGGGGACATGCGCCCGCAGTGAGGAGGGAGAGTAGTGCGGCCGCACACCAAAGCACCACCGACAACCGATTCCGTTTGGGATCCGCCTGTGAACGTTGTCATGTATCCTTCGCCTGACACGGCACGCTCCAGCGCCCTCGGTCCAGCGTTATCTGAAGGTCACGTCACGCTACCTCAGATGTGCTCATGAAATGTACGTTTGGTGCATGCAGTGCTTCCCACGAGTGTACAATCATGTTACATTGCCCGAGTGGTACACCATTTCCATCTCGGGTCAGTGTCTGGAAGACCCCTCTGACCTGAACCGGAAAAGGAACAGCATGCTGTCTCTGTAGGGTTCAAAGTAGTAGTGCTGTCCGACGCGGACACGAAATAATGCCAGAAAGGAAGGCTGGTTCTGAAATAGGCTTGAATTGCTGGTGCAGCACACCCCAAGTACTTTTCTTCTGACAGCAAGTGTTGGTTCATTGGCCTTTGCCACAAGACTCTCGACCTGACATACACCAAAGTGGCTTCCACTTAGCAACTTATACTGTTTGTAACCATCCTGTCATATCTTGTGCTCCTCACCTTGAACCTTTAGCTGACACATGATGTCTCACAAATGACCTTATCAGCATGCATTTGATGACAATTGGGGTTTCAGAGTTGGGTGCCACATGACATAGAGTTGGTAGCTGGTGCAGCCCAAAGCTCAAATCATGATCATCATCAGAGTTTTATAGCAAGCAGATTACCATGACCATTTTATGCCTATCCCATACACCTTTGAGGAACGGCTGTACGATTTTCATCTGTAAATGCACACTCAATTTTTCATCATCAATACTTTGTTAAACCATGGTTTTGGCCCACTGGATCCAAGAATGAATTCTACAGCTAAGAAGTGCTCAGTCATTGCTCTGATCTACTAACAAGCACCAAATTAACTTGCATTATTCCTGGTCATTCAACCATATCAACTGAATGGTCAAACAGGAGCATCCACAAATTATGCTACATCTTTTGGTTATTTCTAGTGCATTTCCCCTGTTAATTCACTAACTGTCCTGGGAAGACCACCTCACTTTAGTGTGCTGTTCTGGGATTAGCAACCAAACAATGTGATGCCTGTTTAGCCAACCAATAAGCTACAGACTCAAAGCAAAGATGGGTGTGTCACTTGTCATAAGAGAAAACCAACATTATCAGCATTCACTCCAAAAAGGTGAATGCTGACAAAAAAGAAACACATGCCAGCATGACTTGCAATAACACCCAAGCATAAAATTGCACTTTCCAAACTCCCCTCACCTTTCTCATACCTTAGTTACACTTGATCAAACATCCCCTGAACATGCCCCCATTGCCACAACATTGCAGTACAAATGTCAGCATGTGTAGACAGTAAATCTGAGTCCCCAAGTTCAGTGGAGATCAAAACCCATTGAAGTGCATAGAGAACCAATATTTCAAGGAATGCATGTGGTATACTGGTAATTTTCACCTTTAATCTACCTACAAATGTTTTTATCACCAAAATTTATTTGAACTTTCAGCTTCATTACACCTGACCTGAGTTTGGTGCACACATATGCCAGGCCTTCATTATTGATCCCATTTCAGAGTGGCCTTAGACCAGACTTTTTTAAAATCCTATGCTGAACATGTCCTACTGGTCTCAGAGCACAGAGAGGCAATATGATAAGGAATTATGATGTCATCAAGGTTATTTAGGGAGTTAATGCTTTGGCAATTTTTCTCACTACAAAATAGCTGAAGAACTTAGCTCACTTTGGCCTGGTGTGAGCTTGGCACACATCAGCATGAGGTTCAGCACACCAATGTCTCACAGGGCTCCAGCCCAATGGATGATTTTTTGCATCCTGGATCTTCAGATTTTTATTGTAGACTGGGACTCAACCAGTCACTGCTTGACCAGCCTTGGCTCATGCCGAACATGGGCGTAGTTTCCTGTCCAACTGAGGATGCTCCAGTCATCCCTTCCCACCAAGTTAGCCTGCTGATCTCCCAAACTTTGAAAAGAAAGTGGGCCATATCAAAAGGGAAACCTTGTCAACATATTCTGGGGTATATTTAATAGCTTTTCACTGCTCACCCCCCACATCCCAACCTAATTTTGCAAAGCTACACCACTGCCACACAATGACCAGATGCTGGCATTTTTCACAGCTACATGGCAGATAAAAACAATGACAATCAGCCATAAAATGGTAGAATTCATGTATCATCACCACATTTGTAAGCAAACATGTTTAATTTCACAAGGACTCATCATGTCCCACACCATATAACATTCATTCCAAAACATGATTAAAAAAGCAATCAACCACAATCTGCTGGCTCCGCATTCCTCAAAGGATGTCCCTGTTCTATAACTCTTCATCTATACTCACTTGAAATTAGTCATTAACAAAGGTCAGCTGGCTTAATATTCATTGCATATCATTATGGATTTCGCTGAAGCTGGCCGTCACCAACAGTGTCACACAATGATGGTAACTGACCACCGTGAACTTGGCAACATCACCAAGACGTCTTAGTCGCTTACCTCACTGTCTTTCAGTCACAGGAACCTTGAGGCAAAACAGACCTACTTCTGATGTTCTTCAGTCTTATTTCAGGCCTTCGGACTGGATCCCTAGGCAATTATCCCGAGAGTGATCACGACACACTGTCATAAATTTGAGACCGAATATGCTTAGCACGCACCAGCACAGCCCACTAGTAGAATGTTCAGTTGTTTGCGAAGTTTGGGATCATTTTGGTTTGCGTACGAGCACAGATACTACTTACATTTGTCTCACGCAGACCTCAGTTGTAACAGTAGCGCAACTGCTGCCATATGAAGTATTTCCGTGAACGAGCCACCGCAGGTACAGCGTTTGGGACAAATTGCTCTCTGCACACCGCTCCTTGGGAACGGACACTCGGAATTCCCGCCCATGCCAAGTCCGCAGACACTGGTCTGTCACATGCTTAGGTCAACAGGCCAGGGGATGGAGGAGAAGTCCACCTATCTTTCGATGGAGATGCTCACATTTTTTCTCGAAAGGACGTGTCCTTCGATGGAATGGCATACGCGGAATGTGGGCTTTAAAAAAGTGGGGGGTATAGGTTTCCCTTGCCCTGTGGCGAGTCCATACCTCCAGGCGTTGTATCAGAAAGTGTAGCGCGGATGGAAATGTTTTGCTATCAAGTTTTGATTGCATTTTGCCGTTTCCCAGCTCCCTTGACAGCCCGATCAATTTGTACAGCACGGTCACAGACGCACCTATATCCCCATTCTCCTGCCTTCTCTCTAAAAAAATAGGGCTATTACTACTGTCTTATCTACATACATTTTCTTCAAAACACACGGCCATCAGCATATTCTGTAGACTTGAAAAGCTGCTGAGCGCAACATTAAGTACACGACCCCCGAAGCATCAAGCAACGCGAGTTGGCAGCACTGGAAAACGCAATTATTCATCAATCATGTTATTCTTTTAAAAAACAATATGTTCTCTGGTCATCTCCAACAAAAAATCTGCTATAGCAAAATCTGCTGTAGCCACGGCACGGCACCAGGGCGTACACATCTCAATGCATGTTTCTGGGGATACGGGCATAGGCGTGATTAGATCCATGGCTTAAGGCCCTGCCCGACTGCCTGATGGACCAATGGTCAACAACAGCTAAGCTGCTGTAGCCACTGCGTCAAACAACTGGCTGGGACCGGCTTTCCAGCCATGCACTGCCGGTGCCAGCAGTCATAACATGCGTCCAGTAATTGCTAAAAGACTAGAGTCATCCTCAGCATGCTGGCAGAACCGCGGATCACCGCCGCCAGTCCATCAGTGCGGCCTGAAGCCGGTCACGCTTTCGACGGCGCTGTCCTCCTGGTGAGCCGACATCGGCTGGTACGAGTTCAGCTCCATGCTGAAGGTGGCCGTGCCGGAGCTGAGGGTGCGCAGCGCCGTCGAGTAATCGCGCAGCTCAGCCAGCGGCGTGTCGCTCAGCACCAGCTTGTCGCCCTGCCAATCACGCACGTCCCTGATCTGCGCGCGCCGGGCGGCCAGGTCGGCCAACACGGCGCTCAGGTGCGCAGCATCCGTCGTCACATGCAGACTCATGACCGGCTCCAGCAGGCGGCAGCCGGCGGCGCGCAGCAGCTCGGCCGTGCAGCGCGACGCGGCCGCCGCCACCACGTGCTCGGCCGTGCGCGGCGCCACCTGCAGCCACGAGAGGCGCGGCTGCACGCCGACCACGGGACAGCCGAGCACGGGCCCGTGCGCCAGCGCCGCCAGCACGCCGCGCTCGGCGGCGGCCAAAAGACGCGGCCGCAGCAGGCGCAGCTGCTCGGCGCTCTCTTCGGTGGGCGCCAGCAGCAGGCGCGGCGGCCGCGGCGCCTCCTCCTGCGGGCTGAGATGCAGGTGCAGCTCCACCTCGTGTGCCGTGTCGGCGATGCGGCGCGCCAGCCGCTGGCGCAGGTCGGCGGCGGCGCGCGGCGTCTCGCGGTACGACACCTGCGGCTCGCCCATCTCGGCGTCGACGCCGTGCTCGCGCGACAGGCGGTCACGCACGATGGACAGGTGCAGCTCACCCATGCCGGCTAGCACCGTCTGGCCCGTCTCCTCGTTGTGCGTGACGCGCAAGCTGGGGTCCTCGCGCTGCAGACACTCGAGCGCCTGGTCCAGCGCCTTGGCCTTGGCCAGCGACGGCGGCTCGACCGAGCAGAAGAAGACGGGCTCCGGCACGGGCACGCCGAGCAGCGCGGCGCTGCCGGCGGCGCCGGCCCGCCGCCGCGCCGCCGCCGCCGCCGACTGGCTGGCTGTCAGCGTGTCGCCGGTGCCGGTCGCCTTCAGGCCGCTGACAACGGCAATGTGCCCGGCGGCCACGGCCTCCTCCTCGGTCAGCTGCTCGGCGCTGGGCGTCATGACGCGCACGAGCCGCTCGGCCTGGCCGCGCGTCACGTTGTACACCCGCTGGCCCGGCTTCAGCTCGCCCGAATACACGCGCACGTACGTCAGTGCGCCACGCTGCCGGCAGTGCACCGTCTTGAAGGCGAGCGCGCAGAGCGTGTCGCCGTAGAGCCGGGCGGCATCCGGCTGGCGCTCGGCCGGCGTCGGCAGCAGGTGCAACACCGCCTCCAGCAGCGGCTGCACAGCGGTGTTGCGGTAGGCGCTGCCGCAGAGAGCGGGTAGCGCGGCGCGGCGCAGCGTCAGCCGGCGCAGCGCCGTGCGCAGCTCGTCGCCGTCCACCTCCGTCGCCGACGCCGCCTCCAAGTAGCGCGTAGCCAGCTGGTCGTCCAGGTCGGCCGTCTGTTCGACGAGCGAGGTGCGAGCGGCCGCGGCGCGCGTCCACAGCTCGCCGTCACCGTCCTCGCGCAGGGGACGCGCCTCGAAGACAGTGCCGTCACCGCCGCGCGGCCACTCCAGCCGCGTCATGGTGGCGAGGTCGACGACGCCGCGGAACTGGGCGCCGACGCCGAGTGGCAGCTGCGTCAGCAGCGGCGGCACGCGCAGCCGCTCCTCCACCGAGCGCAGCGACGCCGCAAGATCGGCGTTCGCCTTGTCCATCTTGTTGACGAACACAATCACGGGCAGCTGGTACCGGGCCGACTGTCGCCAGACGGTGAGTGTCTGCGCCTGTACGCCGGCCGCCGCGTCCAGAACGGCCACGGCGCCGTCCAGCACGCGCAGCGAGCGCTCCACTTCCAGCGTGAAGTCGGCGTGGCCGGGCGTGTCGATCAGGTTGATGCGGTGGTTGTGCCAGGGCAGCGAGACGGCCGCCGCGCCCACCGTGATGCCGCGCGCTCGCTCCTGCTCCAGGAAGTCCATGGTGGCCGCGCCGTCGTGCACTTCTCCCATAGCCGCGATGGCGCCGCTGTAGTACAGCAGTCGCTCCGTCGTCGTCGTCTTGCCAGCGTCGATGTGTGCAATGATGCCGACGTTGCGCACCAGGGCGTCGACGGCCGCCTCCGGGGTGCGGCGGCGGCGCGCACTCGGCTTGCCGCGCCACGCCAGATGCGCGTGACGGCGACCGAGGGCGGCCGGCAGCATGGCGAGTAGCGCCGCCCCGCGGCCCGTCCGGCCTGCCATCTGCAGCCACATGATACAGGTACTAGGTCAGAGCGTGGCAGACAGATAGCGTGTGACACTAGTGGAGCAGGGAACTCACTCTTCCAATTGCTAGAAAAATATTTCTTACAAATGCCTCATAACATACACACACAAAACTCAACATGCACTCTTAACTGAGGAGCTGCTGAGACAGACAAGCATGATGAATACAGCTCAGCAGTCACATAAATGTATGTGATCTTCCATCACAACAGATGCAATATGAGTCAGATTGGATCATCAGCACAAACACACGTACATCCCTTCGGTATTAAGGACCTTAGACAATTCAGAGGGCTTACAAGACCACCATAGTCATAAAATTACATGGAAAACATGTGCTATTCAAAGGGAATGTTACACAAATGAAGACATTAATGCAAGCACCATATATGATGAATCAATCTAACAGGTAACTAGTGGTAACCTTTTAAGTGGAAAGACTGCTCTACATGACACATTTCTCTGGTTAGTAAATATGCTCATATATGCATTTGTTAGAATACATTGCCACACCTTGCACAACAGTGATTGGGAGTCTATTATCATCTATTATGTCTTGAAACCAAGCTCACAAATGCCAGATATGAGCAACTCTGCAATTATATCTTTCTTGACATGGATTATTGCATGGCTAATGGAATGACAATAATTTAATGCGCTATTACGGTGTCATGGATGGCTGAGTGGCCATGAAATAGCCAGATACAAACAAGTCCCTAAGGTAAACTGCACATCTTCATAGCTGTGAAGATAAAAAACTAGAGGAGTTTAAATCTGAAGATGGACAGGGATGCGAACTGTACCAAATTGTCTTTGAGATGGCTATTTCAGTTTGATACCCAATACAAATAACAATTGCTTCAAGTATATCACCCATTCTCTGCTGAAACATTTAATTTACTTACATTAAATGCATTTAACAATTTCTTATTTACCATTTCAATACATCAAATCTATGAAGTGGAATTACTTCAAGTATGTATGTGATCATTCTTCACATTGGTACCTAACAATGAGTTGTTAAATTGTTCACCAATTGACGTCTGAAGAGGTTAGACACTGCAGATAATCATAAAATAAGAACAGGTCAGGGTGTACTTTCCTACCTAACGTTAGAAAAAATCATTGTACACCATTTGTCGTGTTTAAGGCAGGACATATCGTAAATAATCTCAAAACAGGTAGAATCATGCTCCTACCTTCGAATTTCAATAACTTCGACGGCGGGCCCCGGAGCGCCGCGCGCACCGCACCGCCTGGACTCCCTAGCGCCGTTTCTGCGTTGCCGTTGCGTAAATACGGTATTTCTGCTTACCAAGAACTCTAAAAATGTACGGGACCAAAGTAAACCATTCGTCGTGTTTAAGGCAGGACATATCGTAAATAATCACAAAACAGGAAGATTCATAATCTTACCTTCAATTTTTTATAATTACGATGGCGAGCTCCCGAGCGCCGCACACACACAGCACCCGCGACACCGGCGCCATTACTGCGCGGGTCACAACATTACTGTGCATCAAGCAGCATCAAAAACCATAAAAATTAGCAATAGCGTCGGGAGTCGCGGTTGATGCTTATATGCAGCGCTCGGACGTTCGCTGTAGCACTTATTAAAGTTCGAGGGTAAGCATGGGCGTAGGAACAGGGGGGGGGGACAGGGAGGTCATGCCTCCCCCCACTTTTCAGAGTGAGGGGGCCAGCAGTGTTGACTGGGCCCCATCGTTCCCTGTGTTTAACTGTGTCTGTGCTTAACTTGCTTTTGCACGACACTCAAATATACAACACACTTAACCTAGTTCACCAGCCATCTTCCTCAAGATGCGTCATCTTTTTCGTTTGCTCATTGGTCATCGCTCAGTATCACAGTTGCGAGCCAAAGCCAAGCGGCCTATGGAGACTGCAACGCCGGGCGTTCAGACTGTTGCTATGGCTTGCGTGCGCGTACGTTCAAAACCCTATGACATAGTTTTTTTATCAGTAACCAATTCTGACAGAATCTTGAACAGTTTTAGACGAACACGGATTAGCCATGTCAGTACAAGTATAGGACCCCATTTCATCTACAATCTACGTTCAGGGATTCCTCAATATACCTGAAGAAAACAGAAAAACACGGGGCTGGGGCCTGTCCGACAATTATTGGACCACCTCTGGCGATCACGGATGTTGTTGCATCAATGAGGGTTCCTGTGCTGATCCGGGGCCAACTGCGTGGTTCACATTGCCTCCCGTGTCAGGGAGGGGAACAATGTGAAATTATATATCCTTCCAATGACCTCCGGATCGACCAGGAGATCCCGCCTCATGTCGCTAGAATGACAGCCAGAAGACGCTTCGCAATGGGACGGAGTGGCCCTCCAGCTCTTGACCGGAACCAGTATTGTGCCCTTGGTGTTCTACTCAAGGGGCCCCTTGCCCGGAATGAAATAAGGGGCCTCATTGTTGAGTATAGTGGAGGTCTCATTATTGTTGAATAGGGTAGGCAGAAATTACTTTAAGAAAACGAACAAGGCCACCCCCATGTTTGCCTAAAAACGTCCATTTTTCAGAATGGATTGGTGAGAAATATGCAACAAAGGGTTTGAACACGCCCGCCCGCAACCTCGAGAGCAGGGACTGCGATGGTCTGGGTTGCAGCTTCCGTAAAACCGAACGGCGTCGGTCACCACAAATGCCACCAGATGGCGGGCGCCGTGTTAATCTGTCTTCTGGACGGAGCAATAATAGAAACACGAAAAATAGAGAATCTAATTTTACTCTTCCAGTTCCACCACCAGATTCCACCACCACTTCGCGGTGCTTTAGGGACCAATCCGTTCTTAGCATCATTATAAAAATAGGTCACATGAAATATATGCCCAGACTGCCTTGTAGATGTAAGATTTGATGTCCTGAAGCGTTCTAAGGTACTTCTGTCGGAAGCGTCTTCATTTTCGTCCACCCGTTGGCCACGGCTCAATATTAGCTGTTGAGCCGACCGTGCGCGACCTACGGAGACTGCAACGCCTGGTGTCGAGATTTTTGTCGCCAAGATTTGCGAGTGCGATGTTAAAACCACGTTATATAAATTGCATCGCTAATCGAGTCTGACTGAATGTTACACATTTCCAGACAAGCATGGATTGGCGATGTTAAAACACTTTGTTGACCACTCGATCTACGGTCAAAATTTTCACCCCCAAATTTTGATCAAACATATCGATCTACAATCTACCTTCGCGATGTCTTCAAGGTCTGTAGGACGCAGCTTAACATTATGAAAAAGCCTCTGAATTATATTGGTGTAGAAAGAGTCCACTCACCCACTGTAAATTAAGGACACCGGTGATTTATTCCATGCGGTCGTTAAACGTCCGACTTCTGCAGTTAATTGACCTCAACACGAGCTCGGGTGGGGTCAAATTGACTTGCCCCGAAGGTTTTTCGAGAATGGTTTCCGAACGGCGCGGCGCAGTCGCACCATGTTTCGCACGGCTGTAGACAATTGAATACTGGATCGTTTGGCATACAAATTTAGATGTACTTTGCAAGGTCGCTGACCTATGGCAGGTCAAGGTCAGGCCACGGTTTCAGCGAAGTCAAATTATGAGCAATCGTTCAATCTGATACAACAATGGAGTGTTACACGAGGCCATGCATCTCTGAGATGGTATCCTGGGCAACACAAATATAGAATGAGGAAATTACGTTGACCTAAGGTCAGGAATACAGGTCAGACCAAGATCAAAACCAACCTGTTTTATTACTTTAGGACTTGCTGTATGGTATATTTTCTAGTGCTCATTTCCAATTTATTGATAGCAGGAACCGCATTAGACCCCTTCCATGGACTTCTTAGAGGTCAGAATAGGTCATTCACCTAAAATGACCTAGGTCAACATTTTGTTTTTAGAACCATACTGTCTAGCGTAATACTTCTCGCTTATTCAAATGCAAAACTTAGAGCAGGATTGTATGATTTTGGTCACCATGTCTTTTAAAAGGTCAAACAAGGTCACTGACCTTAGCTGAACATGCTACCTTTTGCATAGAAACTATTATCCAGGTTTGGGGAGCACTTCAGAGACCAACCCGAAATTTGACCTTGTTTGACTTTATTTGAACCGAAAGTCATGACCTAGAGACCTCAAACTTTGACTCAAGTGAGTTCATGTACAGTTTAACGCACCCTGCCAATTTGGTGTCTCTAGCTCTCTTAGTTCCCGATATTTTGAGGGGGATAAAATTGACCCCTATCCGCGCGAAGGGTATCTGGCCGGCCACCCGGGCGCGCGTAAAAATGAAAACAGAATTGATTTCACGGTAGCTTCTGGATTCTGTTCTGGTTACAACGTACAAATAACAATGAAACGAAGAAAACTATATCCCCCGTTCACGCATAAGCTATATCTGGGGATCTTTTTTGTGGGAGGATCACAAATAAAGCGGGCTTTTGTCAAGCCTATGTTCTTAGCCAGGTTCTGGCTACCCCCTGCCTATACGCAAAAGCATATCAAGTCATCTACGTTGAATGACGGGCAATTCAATGTTCGTTGGGCCAATTCATGCCTAAAGTAGGCAGCTTCCCGGCGGCATTTTTCTGGGGTGGTGTGGTGTAAGGGAAGATAATTCGGAAAAGGTACTGCTGCGGGTGTCCGACACATGTTTTACATCCCAATTAGTAGCAATGCTGATCCAGAAATGTGCAACAAAGCAGCCATGCCATCAGCTCGCGGTCAGTCATTCGGAGACAGCCGGGCCAGGACAGTGGCCACTGACGGCGGAAGTGAGCAGGGCTCAGACAAGGGATATATGACAGAAGGGCCTTTATTCTTTGGCTTGGTGTTTAAAGGAGAACCTACAGTCCTATAACTTTTGTCACATGGTTTTTGGCAGTTTCGAGCTTCTGAATTTGTTTCCGCCTAAAATGCCGCTACAAGTCTTATCTCTAAAAAAGTAGCCGGCGAATTGAAGGCGC